AAATTAAAGGCCACTAAATTAAGAAATAATTTATTAAGCGTTTCATAAAAGTAAGCGTAAATTAATTGTAAAAAATTATAACGTAAGAAAAAATTAATTTACCTTCAATGGAAACCTTCAAAATAATTTAAATAACAATATAGTATATTATACATATGTTAAATACTCAACAAGATGTACCTATTTCTAAAAAGAAGCCTTTGTAACGTCTTTTAAATATCTTTAAGACACATGTACACATATGTTTAAAAGACATCATAAACGTCTTTTAAACAGACATACATATGTCTTAAAGATATTTAAAAGACGTCACAAAGGCTTCTTTTAGAAATAGGTATATCTTGTTGAGTATTTAAATATTACATATGTAATATATTATATTGTAAGTTATTTAAATTATTTTGAAGGTTTCCATTGAAGGTAAATTAATTTTTTCTTACGTTATAATTTTTTACAATTAATTTACGCTTACTTTTATAAAACGATTAATAAATTATTTCCTAATTAGTAGTGCAATTGAAAGAAAAGTGATTTTTCGTGAAAAAAATAAATGTGGGACTTTATATTATTCGCAGCCTTTCGTTGACTTTAAAGTAATAAAATTCTTAATCTCTATATTACTGCCTGACATATTATGATAGTTGTAACGTTCAAACATAACAATGGCGTAAGAGATCATGTCATTGTTATTCGTGCATTAACAGCTCCGTGCACTTGTCAAAGTAATTAAGACTCCGAATTATTTCAGACACGTTCGCGAGCAAAGTGGCCGCCTGTCAGGACAAGTATGCCGACGCGAGTGTGGGCAATGTGACTGGAAGTAACGCGGTAAACGTCTTCCTGGGAATCGGCGTCGCGTGGAGTATCGCCGCCATTTACCGTGCTTGCCACAGCGAACCGTTCCTTGTCGAACCTGGCAAGTAAGTAGTGGAAAGCAATTACGGACATCCGGTGCGCACAAAGATGCGTAATTTAGTAAACAGTCTACCTTGCGCGAATTCAAATGGTAATTTAAAAAAATGTGATGGTTAACATTTAAAATATATTTTTCTCAAAACAACTTCTAATACAGTAGATAATAAACAATTATTTATTTATTTTGTATATATTACATTATTTATTATTTATGTTATATCATTATTATATTACATAATAACGATGTAAAGACTCTTAAATGTAAACGTAAATAATCAAACAAATACACGGCGAAAGAAGAGTCAGTAGATTACAAAGAGAAAAACAAAACATTTAATTAATTAAATTATTATGCGACGATACATGCGCACGGAACGGCATATATAAATGTGTAAATGTATAAACATGTGTAAAAATATCAAGTTTCGGCTACAAGATTGAGCCCTCTTCAGATATAAAACGCAAAAGAAAAATCAACGATAAGTGAAAATTAAGTAAAAAACAAATCATGTCGCAATTAACATTAGACGTAAAGAAATAAAATTCAGATGGATCTCAAAAGTACGATTGAGTAATCAAGGTGTCCATTGTCCAAGCACAGATCCCAGCAAACCCGAACAAATCAACGATCCCCCGCTTATGCACAGGTGAACCATATGTAAGCCGTAACACTCCGGCAATATTGTGCATGTCAGAGCTAGACATATCGGCGTCGCTCACGACGTGACCGCTCGCTTAGACGGAATGTAACGCACAAAATTATTATATTATTATTGTATTATTTACATTATATTGATATTATTTATATAATTTTTTTCTATATGTCCAATGTTTTTTATTGAATATACCTCATGATTTATTTTGTGCATTACGCTGATAAATTTACGTCAGTATTTCTCGAGGTACCACTGAACATTTATTTCTCGTAATTTCTGTTACCTCGTAATAAAAATATATATTTACGAATGTGTATACGCGCACGTGTTTATATCAGTTAGCAACAAAATTGGTTTTCGATAATTCACGAGCGCGTTTTCACGGTAGCTCAAAATCGTGCGAATGCCACCGGATATGCCACGATAACACGAGACGTTAGATTAAGTAAAACGTGACCTCGATAACAAAGCATCACTCTCCATTTACGATCACTTTCGTGAAACTATTTCTAAGATATTTGGTTGAAGCACGATGACAGCAACTTGGCCAACATCGCTCTCGCGACGATGACATTTAACATGACTGCCATTGTTCTGCGCTACGAAATTGTGAAATTTCGAAGAAAGTACCCGAGAAATTGGCCATTTATCTACATGAATAGACACTCGACGTAATATTGAAGCGAAATCAGAACAGTAGTTTGTATAATACTATTAGTACGAAGAAAATGACTATTTCATTATTTTTTTTGTCAAACATTTTGTACATTGCATTTGTCGTGGATAATAACGCTGTTAGAATACTAGAAAATTGTTAAAGAGCCTTTATGACAATTTTTACTCTACTACGCTACACTGCATTCTATTTCACGAGGATTTCGATGGATTGCCAACCGCGAAATGGAGCATTGTCTCGTATTGGATGATGCTGGGTGTTCCCTAGCAAGAACACGCTACAGTACACTGTGTGTTGCATCATGTACGATACTTGTTGGAACAATTTGAGAGTGTAGACTTAGTTTCTGAGAGTTACATTATAAACTTACAATTACTCTGAGAGTGCATTTTAATTCTCTCTTTTTATTGTAATTATTTGCATAATATTAATAATATATACTACTTATTGTTATTATTTATATTATGTCATTATAATAATCTAATAAAGCCATACAGTATAATTGTATAATTTAATTATCAAATTACAGACTTCTCTATTAAAAATAAGAACAAAAAAAGTTAGTACACGTTGTATATAAAATTTCTTTAAATATTGGAAAATACTGAAACATTTTATACGCTTGTACTTGGATTTTTACAATATTGAGCAGTATTTCACAGTTAAAATACACTCCGTGTTTCACATTGTCGTTCGTGTATCTTGCTGAAAAATAGTCTCTTTTACGAAAACCAAATACATGAATATACAAATAACATCTCCAATCGATTACATATTGCGTCTAAACAATTTCGTTAAATAATGCGATTTGTTGCAAAATAATTAATTTTTTAAATAGAAGACACCTTTCGTTAGAAGCATAATTTTATTTTTATTACAAAATACAAAAATACGTGTTTTTACTACTTGGAAATTTTATTTATTAAAATCAAGGTAAAACAATGAATTATAGATATTTTTCTCTCAGTTTAAAACTGACTTTTAGTATAAGATTATTATGTTTTCCTTAATAACTGATATTTTACTTTACAATAAATTCTAGTCTTCAAAAGAATGTAACGTTCTCTCGTTCTTTTATATTTTAGAAAATACATTCTCTTTGTCTTGGAATAAGATTAGATGAGGCAATGTGTGTGTTTCTGCTTGAAGTTAAAATATCACGACAATTTATTAAGAATAATAGGTTGTTTAGATTGTGTACACAGGTGTGTTCTAAGATGTAATCTATTGCTATGGACACATGTTGTACATAATAATATAATGGCTGCGATCAAATTTGCAAGTGCTCAGTCGTTGATTGACTTTCTATGATAGTTTTGACCAAATTGGAATTGGAGATGAATCTGTGGTTGCACCAGAAAAGTTCACTCCATTTTCATGAAGACAGTTTCAAAAGCTTAAATGTTGAATTCTTGAAAGTAAGGACATGGAAAGAAAATATCTTTCGATCTTTTTTCTTGCTAAGTTTTTGAAAATTAATAGATTTTCATATAAATTCGATAAAAATGTAAGTATATTCTTTCGAAAGATATTTTAAAGATTTTTTTTATAATGACCAATTGAAACATTGAGAACTTTAATTTTCCAAAATCTCTGCTTTCAAATAATATTGTTTTAAAAATGAGAGACAAAGATTTGAATAATTTTTTGATAAAAAAAAATTCAATGTTTAACCTTCCAAAGCTGAGGTGGAAATCTGTAATATAGTTGACGCCGAGATCCATTTGATTTATTTTGAATAAATGGAACTACAAATTTTTTTAATTTCGAGGAACCAAAATGACATAATATACAATAAAGAATGCGTGTGCGTGTATTAAGCTTATTTTAATAATAATTTATTATTAAAATAATATTTTGATGATAAATAAATTTATTTATTGTAATAATAAATGAATTTTGAGATAATAATTCAAATTAACAGCTGTAACATAAAAAATGTAATTAAGTGAGTCCAACAGACGCATCGTCAGCTCCCGAAAGCTAATTTCATAGTTGGTTGCTTGCTCGCGTCTCTATGCAAAAATCGCAGATGTAATTTTGCTGTTGCTTCCTACATTGCACAACTATATCTGACTTTCTTTTATGACGCAGTTTGGCCTTCTCCGTCACCTTGTTCTGTAGCGAGGCTTGCTTCGTGATCGTGGTGCTGTTGGTGAGACGAGTCAAGTCGATCGGCGGTGAATTGGGCGGACCTTTTATACCAAAGCTCATCACGTCCGTGTTCCTGTTCTCCCTTTGGCTGCTCTACCTCATCATGTCCACCCTTGAGGCCTACGGCGTGATCCAGGGTTTCTAAACCAAGGCCAATGCGACGCCATGTCGGCCTATCCACTACGTATATCTTAGCTCTGGCGTCCGCCAAGGCACGTGCTCAACGAAATTATTAACCGGTGAATACGAAAAGAAATCTTTAATTCTTTCAATTGCAGTTTAATTATTTATCATGCCTAATATGCATTAAAATTATTAAGTAGTGCAGTGCAAATAATTTATAATTTCACAGTGTTAGTCCGATCTTCCATCCGTTTGTAATGCTGATTCTACAATGAGTCGGTAGTTTGGTAGTTCTAAGTCTTATTAGTGAAGTTAACTAATAATCAACTCTTGTACAACTGACGTTGATTGAGACTAAGACTTCCTACTACAGATTCATTGTAAAATCAGCATAAGATTTCTTAGAAATTTTTTCTGCTTTCGACAAGTTCTCAAAGATTTTAGTTCGATTGAAGCAAAATATAAGTCAAATCAGACCGTAATTAACAAGGTCGAAGATCAACTCAAACAACACAAAGTCTAAAATTGTGACGTCTTTAAGTCATCTTTTAGTCGCAAAAAACGTCTTATAACCCGATTTCAGACACTTTTTGTTATCTAAGAAAATTAATGAGATTTTCAGTATTATAAAAAGAAGCTCAAACTGCTGATTTTAAAAGGTACAATATACTATATAATACAATATTTTTAATGAAGCTATTTCAATAGTAATAGGTTTTTTGCTGTACTTACAATTACTTTACTTTCGTTGCAGAATGTTTTATTATATCGTTTTCTTAAAAATTAAAAAATAGAAAATACATTATTATATTATATATATGTATAATATATATGTATACAGGATGTTTGGAAAATAATAATAAATCTTTCGCATAGGGGTAGAATGGACTAAACTGAGAAGAAAAGTCCTCATTTTGCAATTTTTGCAATAGTTAACAAGATATTAATTGCTAAATATTGCCGAAAATTGGTTTTCAATAATTTTTTACTCCAGTACTATCAACTTTACAGAAAAACTGCAAGAGACAAAAAAATTGTTTATTTTCTTCTCATAAAACTCTAAGAATTTTTTTAGAATTTTTTCAGAATTTTTTAAATATCTACGAATTAATTTTAATGTTGAATTGATTTGAATGTATCAATAGTGATATCTTAAAAACTGGATATGAAAAGTTATCTATGTGACGGCAATCATTTATTTCATCTTAACTAGAGACGTTTCATAATAAGTCCACAGAATAATTAATATTATCGTTTAATAAATTATTATTGTTAATAATTAATTTAGTTGTATTATTTGTGTAATAGATTCATGTATTGCTATTTCACGACTTAAATATTTTTTATTCAATAAAATAATTATTAAAATAATTATTAATTTTATGCCTACTAATAAAGTTATATTAGGATATGCTTACATAAAATTAGGAAGGCATAAGGACGTCAACTGTTACCATAAACGTGAAAATAAGGTCTAATTCAATTACATTTTCATTATGAGAAGAGAGATCAGCAATTACGTTTCTTCATTGTTTTACTAATCGGTCGTCTTTTACGATGGAGCTATGTGAATACTGCCAGAGCATTAGCAAAACTTTATAGAAAACAGAAGCAATGAAAGAGCAATTAGGTGATTAAACGGAACGTTTCGTTTATGGAAAAAAATTAGTTAATCTTCTGATAAACAAAACATTCTGTGCTTATGCAATATTTAATTTATATCATTTTTCGGTCATGATAAAAATCTTGATCATTCTTAGATCATCTGAGACCGAGATTTTTATCATGACCAAAAAATGACATAGTAAATTCATCAATATGACGTCAAATTGATATTATTTTGATTTTCTTGTTCTCTTTGGGATTATATCTTCTATTTCCATATTAAAAGAAAAAAATAATAATCATAATTATCAAATACTTTTCTTTCAGTGTATTTAATAATTATTTCTAATTTATTATCTTAATTATATCTTAATCTGAATTAATTCTTTTTACACTGATGTAACATAATATAATTTAAAAAATTTTTCTCAGCCTTGTGAATTATAATATTTTTTTAAACAGTTCTTGATTTTGATTACAGGACACAGAAGCGGTCTCGGGACGATACGATTTCGCGAAGAACGAACTTTAATTGTGCCGGAAACTCACATAAGTTCATCCTCTGAGACGATTAACAACGAACATGTCGCGTGACGTATTAAATGGATATGTGTATGTATATGTATGCATGTATAGGTATCTGAGAACATGGGAGTGCTTGCGAGAAAGAGAGAGAGAGAGAGAGAGAGAGAGTGTATGTGTGTGTGTGTGTGTGTCCAGTAAAGAGAAGAAAGCAAATCGATGGAGAGAAGGACAAGCGACGAAGGGAAAAGAAAAAACTAAGAAGAGAAGTGCGCGTGCGAGAAAAAAATGTGAGCTTGCCTTAAAATAATTCAAAGGAAGAAAGAAGTAAGTGCGTTCTAGTCATGTCATATTCCCCGCAAAAGAAAACATTTGGCTGTTATAAAAAAAAAAAGAAAAAAAATGAAAAAAGAAAAAAGAAAATGGAGAAGAAAGGCGAAAAAATATAGATAGTATACGTATGTCTGATCAGATCGCGGGTACACACATATGTGTACATATTGTATTTATTTAATTGTAAGAAATACACAAGTTTCTATATGGTAATTTACTAGCGAATTGCATTGCAATTCTTTCTTTTCTCAGTCAGGAAAAATTAACGTCGGTAATTTTATATACGAGTACATGTTACTAAACGATACGTTACTTTTATCGAGGGAAATTTGATGATCGGATCGATTGTCGCGAGAATCTCGCAGGGAGGAGAGAAAAGTGCGCAAGCACCTGAGCAGAAACTGAACGACAACTGTTGGACACGGTTGTGCAATATACCAAATGTCTGTCAGTGACTTTTATTCATTGCCATTTTGTAAATTTTTAAATATTTATTTCTGATATTATATACCAGACGAAATTGTTAGAGTTTCACTAGAAATATACGTTTCATCTTAATCTCGCCTCAGCGTACTATATTTTAATATATATTAGATTTACTACGATTTCAACGAAACAGTAAAACGTGCAACGTACATCCAAAAGTTCGAAAAAAAGAGAAAAAACTGCGATCGATCGGATATTGCATGACTGCGTCGAATTTTTGTAATAGAATTGAAGAACATGGTGCATTTTTATCATTGCAATAATTGCACAGCTAATGAAATGCGTATGGAGGCCACATGCATATGAAACTAATCGAGTTTATTACTCAAGAAACACATCAGGTCAAGAGAAAGTCAAAATGACTTTATTTTGATGTTATAAAGGTTAAAATGATGATTTTTAATTACAAAATGTGACTGTTTATTGACGTTCAAAATTAAAATTAAGTCATTTTGATTTTTTTGTTAACTTTTATGTGTTCCTTGGGTATTTTGATGCGACTGATTTTGGTTGCTACTGATGAGGATTGCCAGAGAGAAATGAATAAACCGACGAAGAACTTGACAGCGCGAGTGAATAGGGATTTGTTCCAAAGTGGTGAAATTGCATTTTTAATAAAAGTATTTAGCGAAAAGTTTCTTTTATACGAACGCAATGTAGCAGAAATTAATAGGTAATTTAAGTTTCAAGCCGGAGATAAGACGTGGCACATTGCTAGTAGAATCTAGAATTTTAGGCAATCCTATTGACGATCGATAAACGTCTCTCAGCGTTTATTGTAAAATACTTATATTTATATTTTTTCGTTAGAACTGCAATTTTATACGGAAGGTGTGAACTTTTTCTTAGTACGAATCGGCATTAGAATAAAGCTTGCGCGACGCGTGCCATTCAAAGTTGAATAGATGCATAATTTGTAGAATATTTATAAGCAAATACTAATTATGTCGATTCACTTACAAATTCGTTTATTATTATAGCTGTTGATCAAACTCTATTTAATTTAATTTCCTCCGTCACAGATCATTGGCTCCTACAAATAACAGTTTCAATTAAGGTGTGCATAATTAAGATACCACACTGTTTATTTAATCTCAAAGTGGCTTAGGATAATCATGTATTAAATCCCATTAGCGGATTCAGAAATTTGTCAAGGAAATGCATTGCAAGCGAAATTTTTTTTTTAAATATAAAAAGACAAATTAAATTATTACTTATATATATAAAATTATAGAATATTAAATTATTACTTAAATTATTGAAAAAGTATAATTTATAAAACGTTTTACTTAAAATATAAATACAAAGAATAATAGAATGTAACCTATGTTTTTTATATCTAGAAGTTTCTTAATTTAAAAAATATTTTTAGAATATTAAAATTGCGATTAAGCATTTCAGAAATATTTAAAAAATATATAACACTTATTATGAACATACTCTTTGAACGTCTTTGTGCTAACATGTCTTATCTCACATATCATCGTTAACATTATTATATATAATCTGAAATGTTAGATTTGAGTATTTTGTTAGATACGAGAGACAGCATTATTATCATTTTATAAATATATGTTAACGATACTTCAATTTGCTTCGCATAGCATCTTTTATATTAAATTCGTACGTCACCGATTTTATTTTTATTTTTACACTGAGGAAGACCCAATCGAAAGAGCTGAAACGTTTGTCAATTTTTCTCAAGAATAAAATATACGATTTCACACACGCCTAACTTGTGTTGACTCGCATTGGCTGATTTACATGTATACTTGTTATGAATATTTTTAAAAGGAGGGACTCTAAGGGAGGGGGGGGGGGCATAGCCTACATTATTATTAATTTCTTAAGCAAAATAGGAAATAAAGTTTTTGTTACGGATTTTGTTCTTCAGAAACTTGGATAATACGCGAATGTCTAAGAGATGCAACAAGAAAGGCATCTTAATAAAAGACTAAGTGCGTGTAGCGTTTATAAAATTTTAGACGTTTTTCTCGTTTACATGATTCATTTTGCATGAACGCTATTCGAGAGGAATTTTGAGATCGTCGTCAATCAGAGCAGCACAAATCGTTAGCAGACTTGATAATTGTCTTGCCAACAAGATCGTGTTATGGAATACCAGGAGAAACATATTTACTATTAAGAGTAGTTATAGAAAGTGCGACAAACATTAAATTAGTCTTACCTTCGCGAGTTGTATCGCGGCCTTCGTTCGAATGTAAATTACATTTGCCTTTGAAAATTACAATGCGAAAAAGTCACCTTTTCCTTTATCAATGCATATTCTAATTTCAGAACATTTGAATTTTCGTCCAAATAATTAATTTCGTCCACGATATTTTTTTCCAAACGAAAATTCAAATATTTTGAAGTTATAATAAGTTCATATCAGACGCATTGAAGATTAAAGAGATTTGAAATTGAAGATTACAATTTGATCGATCCGATGAATTTAATGTTAATCCGTTGCGTTCTGATTGATCGAATTCTACACTGAAAATAATTTATTACATCTTAATACATATTTCTTTGAAGAAGTTTAGTAAATTTAAGATTTAGTAAATTTTTTTCAGTGTGCTCCAATTCGCAATCTTCAATCTCCAATTTGTAGTTTGATACACGTTTTAGAAGTGCGATTCTTCGCGGTATGTTATTTTTGAAGAAGAAATGTAAAGTCCTCATCAAGATTGAGATTGACTATTGGCTCACACTGCCTTTGATCGAGGGTCGCACTCAACGCGAGGCGATACAACAGTTGTGAGGATTATTATCAGACAGACTATCCCGACATCCGTTTAAACGGAACATTGAAAAAAATTTACTAAGTTTTAATAAATATTTGTTTTAATAGCACTAACTAAATATTTATTTACAGTAAATAAATATTTAGTCAATTAAAAAAGTGGTACTTAAACTGGTTTGGTATCAAATAGATGTGTGTTTACATTTAGTAAATATTTAATAGTACTATTCAAACAAATAATAAAATTTAGTACATTTTTTTCAATGAATGACTCCCAATAATATTATATATCGCTTCAAAATCACAAACTGAATTCGGAGTACGAGTCAGCACTAATCTTGCAACTACAGCGTTAAATTTTACGTTTATCGTTGTTTATAATGAATCTCATATGATTAGCGATTTCGAGGTACGTCTGAACAGGCGTTCGTTCTTAGCGATGTTCTATGAACATAAGCGTAGGAAAATACCTCATGAGATTGACAAGATTTGGATATTATTAGCATTTTAGCATTTTATAACCAGCTTTTGTAACGTGTTAGAGGAAGAAATTGTTTCCATTCCCCTACCCTCCCGCCGACGATTCACCACGAATTTATCTGTGATCTTGAGACGAGGATCACGAGGATGGAAGTTACATGGCGTGTCGCTTTGAAGGCGACATTACATCTGAACGAAACTTACGGGCTGCTACGCAGCATTCAGTATGTACAAATTCACTACACCAGTTTGTTCCTACGAGGAGTATCAACCTAATTTAAAAGGATGTAATGACGATAATGACTGCTGCTCATAGTATTATAAAAGCGCGGAGATGAGCAATCGGACAAGCGCACCTATCGGATGGACTGCACTAATGGTGATTAGTGTCAATCCTAGTTCTCACAACCTAATTCTGCGTTATAAAATAAAAGCTAGTAATCGAGAAAGAAATAGAGCGAATTGTTACTTCCGGAACATTCAGTGATTATAAGCGTACTTCTGCTCATTTGCTCGCGATAGGATTCTCTTATCCTCTCTTTCTCTCTCTTCTTTTATCCTCCTCTCTCCCTTTTATCTCCTTTTCTCTTCCACTCTTCTTCTTCTTCTTCTTCCTCTCTCTCTCTCTCTCTCTCTCTCTCTTTCTTTTCAATCATATTGGATTATGACATCACATAAAGATTATATATTGAATTTTCTTGCGGTACGAAGATATTGCACATAAATTGACATAAGAATGTATTTATGAGTGCAATATAAACGTTACAAGAAACATTATATTTTATTCCCCAAAATTTAAACTGTAAGTTTCTTTTATTATATTTAATGCACTATATATTTATTATATTTGTTATGCTCATGTTATTTATGTGCTGTATAGGATTTAAATAACATTAATTTACTATGAGAAATGCCATTTATATTTAACAGATACAATATAAGAAAATGACTTATTTTTATTTCTAACTACAAGTTAGTTTTGCTTGCAATTTTTTATTTTCAAGGTTTACTTTATTAAACGCAGAAAGGAAAGAAAGCCATTTATTTCAAGATATAAAACAGATAAAGAATTTATATGATATCAGAATTTATATGATATTTAAATTTTATAAGTTTTATGATCTTTTGATTATGATATCATAACCCAACATGCCTGCGGGATACGTTTAATGTTAATCTGTTTGGAAAATGGTATAAAATCATTTTTTATATTTCGTTTTTTTAAATATAAGATTTTTATTATGTTTCGAAAAATTGCTCTCTTTGATCTGATATTTTAATATGTTTAGCGTGTACATCGATGTCTATATTGATATTACATCAAATAATTAATTAGATACGAAATTGAA